TTTCATGTTCCCTCCACTTTATTTTGCTGCTTCCTTTTTCCTGTACCATGTTGTTTTCTTTCACTCTTCCCTCCACTTTATTTTGCTGCTTCCTTCTTTGCTGACCTCCTCACCCAACTCCCATGCCAAACTGACCTTAATGTGAGTTTGCATGTTTTCATGTATGCCTCATTCAAGCTGTTCGCTTGTGTTCTTTGTACTACCTTTCTCTCAGGACTTATTTCCTTTTTACCTGTGGTTGCCATCATTTGGATGTCTATGTTACTGATGCCTCTTGCACCTTCTTACACCACACTAATGTACTCCTCTAGCTGGATCTGTTTTTCCTTTCTATGACCTCTACTGTTCAGGAAATTAACTGTACTTTCTCTCCAATCTCCCTTCTTTCTATCCCTCCCACTTCTGTGATTGTTCAGGCCTGGATCGTCTCCTTTATCCTACAGGGGCTGTTTGTTTTTGCTTATCACAAGCTTTTCTCTTTCAGGATTCCTGCCATCCTCTATTCCTACCCTGAGACCCCTCTTTTTCCATGGATCTCTTTCCTTCTATCCTTACTGGATGGGCTATCAATGCCCCCAGTTGATATATTCTTCCCTGGATATGGATGCTATTTAACATTTCTTCACATCAGATTCTTCACCTGCTTCACTCTGTTGGTTTTCATCTTCACTGACATGTGGAAGAAATTTTGCATGCGTTGGACTCCCAACACGTTTGTTGCTCGTTATCTGCATCACTTGGCTGTTTTATCTCCTGCAAGATTTTAACTTTACCTAATCGCCATTCTTCAATCAACCCCATCTTCTTTGAGATGTGTAAGTAGGTTTTCTTATTCCTTTTCTCTCCCTACCATCACTCAGGATCCTTTCAGATGGCTGGTATTGCCTCCCAGAGTATGCCTATTTCCCAAAATTCAGATTGGGCCAGGGGTAACGGAAAGCACTCAAACCATCTGTGATATGGAGTGTTCCACAAGACCACCAGAGGTACGTTAATAGTGTGCAACTTTACTGATTTGTCTGATCCAGACTGTTCCAATTCTGTGGACTATCATGGAAAAAGCTGGCACCAGGAAAGTGACTACCCACTTCTTAAGCTTGCACTTGCCCACTTTTAAAAATATGGTTTTGAGGCCACCCATTGCATTGTCTCCAGTAAAGAACTTTTCTATCTGGTTTTCCAATGGAGATCTTGGCACTTCTCTGGGTCTCCCTAATGTGAATTCCCACCCCGTTCTTCTTCAAGTAGAGCATGGAAGACCCTTGCCACTTACCCGTTCCTAGCAACTGGGATGATGGACCATGGAGGATCTTTATTGGGTGGGCTTAGTGCAATACAGTGAGAAGTAAGGTGGTGGTGACACTGTCAGTGTAGTACAGGTTATCCCTCATGTAGCTAATGTGCCCTCCTCATGCAGCCAAAGTCTGTATAGTAGAGTCGAGGTGAGTACACACCCTATGGTCTGATTGTGCCCTAACCA